CAGAGGGGCTTTACTCTTAGGGGTTGGAATCGCCTCATAATATATATATATACATACACACATATATACATTAAAAAAAAAAAAACATATATACATATATGTCCTAGGGTCCCCACAGGCTGTTTGTGAGAAGCTCCCATATAGCAGTCTCAGCATGATTTTTGAGCCCCACACCTCGGCTTATAACCTAGCCCTGACCAGGCCTACAAGAAGATCGACAAGTACCTGAAAGAGGTAGGGCTTATGTATTTGCAATGGGGGAAGGTGGTTTGAGATTTTGTGGTTGACTTCTCTAAGCCCCAAACACTAAGCCTCAAACCCTAACCCCTAAAACCAACTTGGGTTGTAAGGCATGATGGTTGTAGTTCGTGAAGCACTCTGAAATGCTGTGTGATTTACAGCAGCTACTGCAAGTTTTGTATAGTCAAGGCAGACATGCCCAGATGCATGCTGGCCCAAACAAAAGTCACAGTCTGGAACTGTTTCCAGCGCTGCTGTATTGCGGCGGTCATTAAAATAGAACCTTCTTATTATGTGCCTTACGGTGGCCTATGTCTCCCTAAGGGTCCAAGAACGCAAATAATAGGGCTTTAGGGCCCAAATACCATTAATATTCTAGCATTTGGGCCCTAAAACCCTATTATTTGGGTCCTTGGACCCTTAGGGTCTCAAAGCTATCAGAAATCTCAATCTCGGTCATACTACCTCAAGGAACAAACTTGCAACCCCGAGGTTTCCACCTTAAGATTGTTTGTTAAGTGAAAGTTAGGGTCTAGGATTTAGGGTTCAGGATTCAGGGTTTAGGATTTAGGGTTTAGGATTTAGGGGTTAGGGTTGAGGGTTTAGGGTCTAGGGTTTAGGGTTTAGATGAAGGTCAGTCGCGTCTTCAGGTCTGCCTACATTACATACTGCCACGGCCCAGCGTAGCGATTGTTCGCCTCAAAGGGAGCCTTTTGGTGTCTTCGTCTACGTTCACGGTGCCATGTACACATCACATATACGCATACATACTACATATATAGGCAGGCTTGTATATATATATACACATATTATATCAGTACATATGTTGATTAATACTTGGTACTTCGTTCAAGTAGGCCACTAAGGTTGCGTTTGCTATCTCCTTGCTTGACATCGTAGCCGCATGAGGCCCTCCGCGTCACAGAGACGCTGCAGCCGCTGCTGACGGAGGTAGAGCGAGGGTTTGAGATTTTTAGTAATCCCTAGGGGTCCAGTTACCCAAATAATGGGTTCTGGGTTCTATATACCGCATAGTTACATAGCCCAGCAACCTACTATTTATGAGGAGCCCCAGGGAATCCTACATTAATAGATCTGCAGTTCATGTTGAGATGTTGTTGACCAGAAGTTCATGTCGAGCCCGGGAATTCGAGATCATGGCCACCTACACCCCAAAAAGTAGGTAAAATCATAGCCAAAGACCTCTAAAACTAGCCCAAAGGCAAGGCCGTTATCCTACACACTTTTGGGGTCCAGGCAGTTCTCATCGCTCACGAGTTCAGTTGTCGGGTCACGAAGGCGACCTTGCGTGTCATGACGGAGGAAAGACAATGTTGTATTGATCTTCTAAAACATGCTGTGACCCTGTAGCCTAGCAGAACGTAGCTTCTCATCCTTTAATCACAACAGTCTCAACCCCCAAATCAAACCCTTCAATCCCCCTATCCGCAGTATCTGGAATCTCAGTAGGGAATGAGGGAATGGATTATGGGGACTAAAACTGGGAATACGCAGGCATAGGCATCACAAAAAAATTGACAAGGCATCAAAAAGAAATTTGATAAGCATCAAGAAAAAATTGACAGGCATCAAAAAGAAATTTGAGCGTTTCAGCTTGACTATTATCACTAATATTAGTACTATTACTATTACTAATACTATTACTATTAGTATTACTATTAC